AGAGTAAGCAATCTGTTGGACTTTTAATAAATGGACTAGTGGTAAAAGCGATGTGGAGTGTGTATTTCCCAATCATATTTGACCACAAAATCCTTTCCCTCTGCCTCTCCCAGTTGTGAATTTAACGCTGAGAACTTACAGCACTGCAATTGAGTTGAGTCGGAGGGCAGGGCTGACAGCGGGTCACAGGAAGCCTCAGAGTTCTGCTCTAAGAATTACTGGGGCTCACTTGATATAACAGCTGTGTTTATTCTGTGAGCCTATTTACATTCTCCCCAAATAATTAAAGTCAGCCAATTGCAGCAAAAATGGGTTCACAGTGGATGCATGGCCCCATTTTCTGGCTGGTGGTTTGCAAGTATGGTAAGGGCTTAGGGGAAGATTTCCTGCACTAGGAAAGAGAACCCAGAAGAGATATCTGTTCTTCTTTTCTCTGGATTCGATGGCTGGAACTGTAGAGCCATTTTGCCAATGGCCTGAGGGTAAAGTCAACACCTTGATGACAAGGCAGAGACTGAAGCAGCCTGAGTTTTGAAGGTAATGCTGAGCTTCTGGTAACCACACCTGGATCTATCCCATTTTGTGACTTAACTTTGTTTTCTTGCTACATGATAACATATTTCCTTATTTTTAAACTAATTTCAGCTAGGCCTTTATATGATTTGCAGTTAGAAGTGTCCTGGCTGAGGACATTTCTCATTGGTCAAGGCTCAAGATTTGGACTCTCCGAGTAGAGGTAGGGTTGTCCGGGGCTCCGGTATCTTGAGGCAGCAGGTGGTACATTAGTGATACTCAGATACACAAAAGCAAGACCAAGACTCATCTACTTTGGGCCAGTGGGGATGGTTGTGGGTTGACATTCTAGATGGCTAGTTAATGGGTATGCTTGAAGGGCTGGAGATGGACCTCCTGAAAACCCCTCTGGTCAGTTGGGATTCAGGAGTCAGCACACAGGAGTAGAAGGATATCACTCTGCCAGCTGCTCCAAAAAGGGTTTGAACTGTTATACTTGTGTGGCATGCACTGGCCCCTGCACAACCTCCTTCTACAGCCATTGGGCTGCTATGGGCAGAACCACAGTCCCTTCTTCCAGTTTCCTTCCTTTTACCTTTTAGCATTTAGTGCCTTCTTTCCCATTAAAAAAAATGGCTCAACTTTATTTTCAGACATATTCAATGAACTGTCAGTGTTTTCCCATGTAAAGATAGGTTGACATGGTTTATTGGCAATTGTGTCCAGTGATTTTTTAGAAAACCATCTGAACCCTATTCAAAAGTGCAGTTCAGCAGTACCCTTTTAAATAAGTATATTGCTAGTGCTGTGAAACACATCTCCAGAGCTTGTTCACATGTGTGATGGCTCATTTGATGTGTCCGCTTGCTTGGGCCAGGAGGGGGTCTGCACTACCCAGGTTAAACGTTATTTCTGTGAGTGAGAGGGTGCTTCCAGATGAGGTTAACATTTGAATCTGTCAATTTAATAAAGTGGTTTGCCCTTGCCAGTGTGAGCCAGCACCATCTAATCCATGGATGGCTGAAATAGAACAAAAATGGAGCAGGGAGGACCCCTCTGCTTACTGCCTGCTTGTTTGAGCTGCTCTATTAGTTTCCTCCAGCCCTTGAACTGCAATTTACACTTCGACTTCCTCGTTTCAAACCTTCTGATTCAGACTAACCTGAAACCACCGGCTTTCAGGGTCTCCAGCTCGTTCTCGGCCTCCATAATCACTCGGGCCAATTCCACATTACAATTCCATTTCCACCATCTGACTTCCCCAGGTCCAGTGCTATGCATGCCATTGGTTCTGTTTTTCTGGAGAACTCTAATACATCTTGCAAAATTGAAACCCCACCCATTACACACCCCCAACCCCATCCACACCCCCTGATCCTAGTAATTGCCGTTCTACTTACTGTTTCTACGAATTTGACTACTTCTAGGACCTTATGCAAATGGAATTATACACTACTTGTCTTTTTGTGACTGACTGTCCTCAAATGTGAGTGAATGTCCTCAAATAATGTCCTCAAATTTTATCTTTATTTCACTTAGCATAGCATCCTCAGTGTAGCATGGCACAAGATGTCCTTCCTTTTAAGACTAATGTTCCCTTGTGTGTATCCTTCCTTCAGTGGACATCTGAGTTCCTTCCACCACTTAGCTGTGGTGCCTTAGCATCATATTTACACTACTTATGTGACTGATGTTTGGGCTTCTAATTCTGTGGCATATATTTCATTTTAAGCAAATTTCTCTATTGCAGCTCACAAGAGGCAATGCCTGAGAGTACCTCATCCTCCTAAGGATGACCCTGCTAATTAGTTTTTTGATGAAAAACTTTATTTTGTGAAAAAAGAAAACACAATATAGGTACTATGTATAGCTAAATAGAAATGTAAAAAGTAAAAGGTGCATATCTTCCCTTCAGGGTAACCACTCCTTCTCAACACTGTAGCTATGACCCCTTCTGAAATGTAAGTGCATTTAAAAATTCATTTTCTCGGGCCATTGTTGTGGCCTAGCAGGTAAAGTTGCTGCCTGCTATGCTAGCATTCCATGTGGGCTCCAGTTTGTGTTCTGGTTGCTCCACTTCTGATCTAGCTCCCTGCTAATGGCCTGGGAAAGCAGCGGATGATGGCCCAAGTACCTGAGTCCCAGTCACCCATGTGGGAGACCTGGAAGAAGCTCCTAGTTCTGGGCTTCCGCCTGGCCCAGTGATCGCTGTCGCAGCCATCTAATGTCACTTTAAAAATATATTTATTTATTTATTTGAATGGTGGAGTTACAGAAAGGGAGAGATAGAGAAAGAGGTCTTCCATTGGCTGGTTCACTCCCCAAATGACCCCAGTGGCTGGAGCTGGGCCAATCCAAAGCCAGGAGCTGGGAGCATCTTCTGGGTCTCCCACATGGGTACAGAGGCCCAAGCACTTGGACCATCTTCCACTGCTTTCCCAGGCCAAGAGAAGGGAGCTGGATTGGAGGAGGAGCAGCCGGGACATGAATTGGCACCCACATGGGATGCTGGCACCACTGGTGGAGGCTTAACCTACTATGCCACAGTGCCTGCCCCAGGGTGTCACTTTTAAATAAGTATATGCATAGTGTCACACCCTCTCTCTCTCTCTGCAACTTTGACTTTCAAAATAAATAAATAAACCTTTCAAAATAATTTATCTTCTTACCCATAAAATGTGACACAAGCTCAGGATAAAAAAAAAAAACTTGAAAAACAATTAAAGCTAGTATTTAATTAGATCCTATTTTCTGCTTGGCACTCCACCAGTCACTTTCAAATTATTCTTCATATTCATCACAACTCTTTGAAGCTGGCATTTGTAATGTGAGATATCTTCAAAATGTTCATGGAAAATGCATATTATCAGAAAACAACATAGGATTTCAAAAATTTTTGCACCTAATTAAACTTACCTTTTTAAAAAATTATTCCTACTTTATTTTTCTAAATTTTAAATTTTAATTAGTTTTTTTAACAGACTCAATGTGATTCGTAGATACAATTCTAAGAACATATGATATTACCTATCTTTTTTTAAACTTAAATTTTATTAGTTTGTTTCAGAGGCAGGGAAACAGAAAGAGAATAGGAGACAGAGAAAGAGAGAGAGCTTCCACCCCCTGTCTCCTCATATGTGCACAACAGTTGGGGCTGGGTCAGGCCAAAGCTGGGAGCTGGGAACACAACCCAGGTCTCCCATGTGGGAGAGAGGAATCAAATTACTTGAGCTATCATCTGGTGCCTCCTAAGGTCTGCATTAGCAGGAAGCTGGAATCAGGAGCTAAAGCTGGGAATTTGCCCCAGGAACTCCACAATAGGACGCCAGCATCTTATCTACTAGTGTAAAAACTGGTACCTGAACTTTTAATTCCATTTTCGACAGATTCTACTTGGTGCTCTCATACTTCAGGAAAGTTATAGATTGGTGAGAGGACATCTCTTCCCCAGTGCCACTATGGTATACACCTCTACCATGCACACTGACTGACTTACAAAGGATAGGAAAGTGGCCTCTCCTGCCCCCCCAGAGCCAACACTGCAGAGAAGATCAGGCACAGCCCATCTTGATGGGCTTTTCCTGCGCCCCTCAGTGTCACTCCCTGCACAGGTAAGGTGTTCTGTCAAACGATCAAACCCTGCCTCATCGTTGCCCTTTTGTACTTGGGCTTACAACATCAGGAAAACCTAGACTAACCTTTGTATTTCTAGTAAAAACAATCATTTATAAACACTGAGCTTTCTTGGTTTTTGAGCCAAACAGCACAACCATGCCCATGGAACAAGTGTCCTCTTCTAGAACTCTGAAACACTGATTTCTCTGCTATCCACTCCCAGGAGTTGAGTCAATTCCCTTTTACCTTCTTGGCAACTGTAATACAGATTTGGGGCTGACAGCAAATCCATTTCCCTGAAGTTTGTTTACTTATTTTTATTTCTATTTTTTTTTTTCTTAAAAAGCCCAGTTCACAAATGAAGACACTAAGCCTCAGAGAGGTTAAGAATTTTGTTCAAGGTTCAACATCCAGTAAGAAAGAGTCACGGACAGAGTCGGGATAGCTGTCAGCAGAAAGTGGACAGAACCCAGAGGGGCTTGGGACTGGGCAAAGTTCGCATCTGCGTCTCACTTTTCACATCTGAAACAAGGCCTGTTGTAAAGACTAGCAATACTATGTGGAAAGCACCAAGTGCAATGTCTTGCTCTTGGTGGGTGGTCCATAACTGCTAGTGATCTTAACTGTGCCACCTAACTCCAATACCCTTCCCACAGAAACATAGAAAGAAGGGGAAAAAGAAAGTGAAAGAAAGAAAAGTGTAAATCATCCATAGTTGCATCCTCTTGGTATCAGAAGTATTAGCATTTGGTGCTTTTCCCCGTTCCTACATTTTTTTTTCTTCTTTCCGTGAAGCATTTCCTTGAGAGTTGTAATCACACTGTATACATGATTCGTTTTCTATTTACTTCTCACTTTTCATTTCCTGCTAGGACGAACCTTAATGTCTACATTCCTACCATTGGGAGTTGTGGGAACCAGCGGCCCTGAAGATTAGAAGCCTATGTAGCAACAGCCGTTTGGGAAGCCTGGGGCCTCCCCTCGGTGGTAAGCACGAGCTTGCTAAATGCTTCTTCATTCATTAGTGACGCTGAACTGCTTTTTCCGAGCTGGAGCTCCTCTTGGAATATTGGTGCCTTGACCTTTACCATGGCTGTGCTTTTACAGTCTCAGAGCGGATACCTCCTCCTCTAAGACAGCTTCCCATTTTCCCTCCATCTGTACTGCCACCCCTCTGATAATCCAGACCTACCAGTCACCAGCCTATGCAGTCTGATGCTAGGCAAAGCTCTTTCCACAGTGCACTTGCCACCCCTCCACTCACAGGGATCTGCACTGTACTATGCTTCCTTTCCCAAACTGCTAAGTTTCACCATTATATGAACTGAGGCCATTAGCGAATGCACACTAAATTTAGCAGGGCTCTTACTTTTGGGCAATACCTTGGCCTATTTATTGTTCAGTCATAATTCCAAAACTTCTCCATTATTTTCAGTCTCTAACTTTGCCCCAGGCAGGTCAACAAGAGAATTTCTCCTTCATGGGGAAATTGAAGGTACACTTCAAATGAGGATATCTCTTCAACTTTGCTTTCCTTTGTCTAAATTTTCCTTGTATCTTTAGCCTCCCTTTTCTCTTTTTGGCCTCGAACAAGAGTTCTGTCTTATTTCTGAAGGTTCTTTCACCTCTTTCTTTATCCTTTAAGACTATTCCTTTAATTGCTTGTCTTTTGAGTTTCTGTTAAATGAATATATCCTCTTTTTCCGAACATGTACAAGTGTGTCCCATTCTAAAAATAAAGTACACAAGTAATAATAATAACCCTAGTAAGCCATTTCTTTAGCTCTACTTCCTTCTCATTGCATTTTTTCCCTTCTATTATCAAAATGCACAATTGCTTGGTCCACCCCACTCCTTCCTTTTATCCTGAATTTTGTCTTTACACATCAGTGTGATTGCTTTCTTAAAAGTCACTAAGAACCTCATTCTTGCTAAATCTTATACCTCTTTTCTTTCTTCACCATGCTCCTCACTGGGCACTGGGCCCCTTCCTGGAGAGACAAACTCAATCCCTGTACCCCCAAAACTCATAGTCTCTGCAGCAGGTGGCCTTATGCACCAGTTCCTTCTCTCTCTTCCCGATGTCCTGACCCTGTATTCTCCTTATTCTTGTATCACAACCTTCAACATATCCTTTTCTTTATCTTTTACTGGCACACCTTACTGATGCCTCATCCTGTCTTGTTGATGGAAGCATTCCACAAGGTTCAGCACTGGCCCTTTTCTCTCTACATACACCCTCTTTCAGCATTCACCTTCAGTTGTCACTCCCTTTCCATTAACCGTACTCTCATTCTGCCAATTTGCTTTCTCATTTGGGTTGAAATAATTATAACGCACTAGGTAGTCCAAATAAGGTATTTCACAGACACCTCCTACTCAAAATGTACAAAACTGAGGTCATCTTTTCCTCACCTCTTAGGCATTTCCTCCCAGCACACATGGGCCTCCTTTGTGAACTTCCTTCACCGGAGAATGAGTGTGGAACTACATGATCCTGCACCCTTGGCCATGGCTGGTTGGAATCAGTCTCCCAAGGACATGGAATTATGGCAGACACTAGTCTGCTTTTGCTGACCTTGGGAGTGACGTGAAATCCCAAGTGAACCTGCCATTGTGAACAACCTTTTTCAGGGGTGAGAAGATTCACGAATGGAGCAAAGAGAGGCAGGGATGGGAGACTGTGAAGATGTTGGAGAAGTCAGCATTGCCAAGGATCAACATGGACTCTGATTTCTTGCCAACTCCTGATTCTGGCCTCTTGTGAACCTCAGCTGTACTTTCTGCCCTTAAGTTTTGGGAGATCATCCTCTATTCTTAAAACAAATTTTCCCTTTCCACTTTAGCCAGCTTTAGTGGGCTTCAAATAAAGGATTCTGGATGCAAAAACCCCCAAACTCAGGTCTTTTTCATTGCATTCAGATTTCCTGAAATTGAAAGAACACTTTTCTTCTCATCCAGGTCAGACTCTCATATTATCCTTGGCACTTCTCTTACCATAACATGATTTTCCATCAGATCTCCTTACCTAACATGTCCCACAGTTCTGGTCTTCCAAATTGCTCTTGAAAAAAATAGTTTTGAATTTGCGCCTTAGGGCCTCCTTACCAGTCTTCCTGCTTCTGTGTAATTTTCTCCTTCCATCCATCAGAGATCTTCAGAAGTTGTTCTTTCCATGCTGGATTAATACTGCACACTGCACCTGAAATGTCAGACCATCTGTGGCAAGGTATCTGGGCACCTACCTGTCCATTCTTGGTTTTTCCATCATGGAGGTCAACCTATATTGATCAGGTCACCAGGGCTCCTCTGTGCTTTGGCTTCTGGTTGTGTTTAGCCAGTTGGGAGCTCTGGCAGGAGACCAGATGGAGGGAGAAGGTGAAGTCAGAGTATTTAACCCTGGTTCCCTCCCTTTAAGGTCACTTTTAGGGTGGCTGTATCCCTTGGCCAAAGGTCATTGCTTATCTTGAGGTGGCCTCTAAATGACTCTATGTCCTTCCTGATTTTTGCAACCTCTCCCTTCCCTCATCCTTTCAGGCCTTGATTTATTGAGTGCTCTGTCTCTGCTCGTCATAGGTGCCTGTACTCTCTCTAGTTCCTATATTCCCTGCCCACACATTGTAAATAGTCCTTTCACAATAAATGCTCCTTGAATTTTCCTAAATTGAGTGTATCATTCTTTCCTGCTGTGGCCTTGACTGATACAGAGCGAACAGATAACAATAGCTTTTGGGAATTAAATGTTTTAATCTGCATTTTCTGTTAGAACAGTGCTAAGCATATAGTTAAGGCCTTAGAAATAGTTAAGTGTTACTAGTATTATCTGTTATCACTTCTGATTTCGTCTTCTAGTCTGCAGCTCAGCTGAATGGCATACTCCTTCTTAATACTCGCTGTGCTTTCTCACCTCTGTGACCACACCAGGACTCCAACCTCTTTTCTTTTTCTGCTCATCTCCCACGCTCCAGTTAATCATCTTTACCTAAGAACTTCTTCCTCAACCAGGTAACATCATGTATCCCTCTTCCTCCACCTCTCCCTGGGTGCTTCCCACATTCTGTTTCTTTTGAGATTTATTTGGGCTTATAGGAATCATTTCTTCCACTGTACTGGCAGCTCCTTTAAGGCACACATTCAATCCTATTTATTTTCCTCTTTTTAAATACTTCACCTTTAATTAATCAAAGAAAATTTTGGTGCTAAATCCCTACCATCCATTCTCCCCACAGCAGCCAGAATGATCTTTCAGAAATATAACAGAAATGATCCTGCTGCCCCATTTAATCCTCCAGTGACTTCCTTCCGTACTTGAAATAAAATCCCTCTGCCACGGGCTGTTGACAAAGTCCACTGATCTGCCCCCAGCAGCCTCACTGACACACCTAGAGTCCTGGAACCTACTGAGCTTGTTTCTGCTGTTGGGCCTTGTCCAGCTGTCTCATCTGCCTGGAATGCATGCCCTGCCAGATGGGCCCTTTCCTCAGACCCCAGCTTTGATACCACCTCTGCAGAGAGGTCTTTGTGACTTCTCCATCTATTCTAGAGGACCACTTAAGTCACTCCCCATTTCATCTCCCATTTATGTTTTATACATAGTACTTCTGATTTTTTTTTCTTTATGAGATATACTCTATATACCATAAAATTCATCTGTTGAAACTACCCAATTCAGTGAATTTCAGGATATTTAGAAAGTTGGGCAGCCATCAAAGCCATGGAATTTAGAATGCTTTTATTATCTGAAAAGAAACCTTATAGGCATGAGCAATAGGCTGGTGCTCCATCCCCCACCCCACTGCTTTACTTTCCAGCCTCTGGAAACCACTAATCTACTTCTCACCTCCAGAGACTGCCCTGTTCTGGGCTTTCTGCATGCATACATTTATACAGTATGTGGACCAGCGGGCACTTAGTGTTACAGTTTTGAGGTTGTCCATGCTGTAACTTGAATCTGCACTTCATTCCTTTCTATTGGCACATATTGCCCCATTGTATGGATATACCACATCTATGTGTGGACTACCACATCTATGTGTGGACACACCACATCTATGTACCTTTTCACTAGTTGATTATCATTGGATTGCTTCTTCTTCTTCTTTTTTTAATCACTTGTTTATCTGTTCCCCACCATGAAAGAAGAGAATGAGCCTTGTCTCTGTCTGTCCCACTCATTGCCATAAATCCCTTAGCACTCTCCTGGTGCGGTGCTTATCCACGGAAGGGTTGGGACATGCCACCGCGAGTGGAGCAGGGCCCAGAACGGGGTCCAGCGCACACTGAGTGCTCCCACATTGTCTGAATGAGAGCTGTTACATCGCAGAAGGTAGTGGGCAGCAGCGTCTCTGCTGTCTACCCCCAGGCTTTCCCCTCTCCTGCTCGCCTCCCCGACCCACTCTCCCCAGAGGCTCATCAGGCTTGAGCTGCCACTACCCGAGCATCTTTCTGCAAAGAAAAAGTAGGTCTTGGCCACTGTGCAAGGAGAAACCAGAGGCAATTAAGAGCGCCCCAGACCCCAGGCTCCCAGGGGCTTTAGATCCCATCACTTTCCTTTGACTCTGAGCTTCTGGGGGATCTTCCCAGGTAAAAGAGTCAATAAACTCCTTTGTTGCCTTGGCCAGCTAGGCTTGGCTTCCTGTCCCTTGCCACAGAGAGAGTTCTGATGAATACAAACAGGATCCTCCTCACCCAACCGGTCTGGTCACAAGAACAAATGATGTGCAAGGGTTTCTCAGATGAGAAAGCATTTCCACACCCCCTTATTCCACTCTACTCTCTTAACAGGAGAATTTCACAAACCGAATTTTAAACTTGAGGAAATCCAAGATCAGAAATGCCAAGTGACATGCCTAAGGTCACACAGCTTAAAATTGCACCGCCAGGTCTCAAAATCAGCCTTTAGCTGCCAGTTCTGTGTTCCTCACCTACTGGGATAAGCCCCCCACCCAGCTTTGGGAGGAAAAGGTGACATGTACTTCTGGGTGCTCTGGCTGTGCATCAGGGGCCCAGCACAGTCCTTGAGGGGGTTGCTGAATAAATGATTTCAGGAGTTTACAAGGCTCTAGGGCTGGCACTGTGGCACAGTGGGAGAAGTCACTGCTTGTGACATTATCGTCCCATATTAGAGTGCTGGCTTCTAGTCCTGGCTGCTCAGCTCGTGATCAAGCTTCCTGCTAATGAGCCTGGGAAGGCAGCAGAGGATTGCTCAAGTGTTTGGGCCCTGCCACCTATGTGGGAGACCAAAAATGGGGTTTCTGGCTCTGGGCTTTGGTGTGGCCCAGATCTGGAATTTGCAGTTATAAGAAGAATGAACCAGCAGATGGAAGCTCTGTCACTCTCCCTTTCAAATAAATAAATTTAAAAAATAATAGTTGGGGGCTGGCACTGTGGCATAATGGGTTAAACCAACATCTGCAATGCCAGCATCCCATGTGGGTTCCGGTTCGAGTCTAGGCTGCTCCAATTCTGATCCAGCTCCTTGTTAATGTGCTGGGGGAAAGCAAAGGAAGATGGCCCAAGTGCTTGGGCCCCTGTATCCACATGGGAGACTGAGATAAAGCTCCTGGCTCCTGGCTCCTGACTTCAGCCTGGCCCAGCTCTGGCTGTTGTGACCGTTTGGGGAGTGCACCAGCAGTTGGAAGATCTCCTTCTCTCTCTCTCTCTCTCTCTCTCTCTCTCTCTCTCAGTAAATCTGCCTTTCAAATAAATAAACTAAATCTTCAACAAAATTTTTGATGACTTGAAATGGCTAAAGCTGGAAGATCCCTACAGGTACCTTATGCCAAGGTCTCTGATTATCAGAGAATCTGAGGCTGAGTGGATTGAAACATCCTGAACAAGTTACAAAGTGAAAATCAAACACTCAGCTCTCAGCAGGGAAGAGAACTCCAAAGTTCCATGTCCGACTCCTTCCTCTTCTCCCAGCTCTCTGCTTAAGCATCTTTATTGTAGGTTGGTCCCAATTGAAGAAAGCAGAACTCTGTGAAGGCCCTTTGCTGGGATCTGACTGATACCCGAGTCACAATTCCTAGTGATGTGTGTCAACACCAGAACACAGGAGAGACTCAGAAGACAGATTTGTACATTAAAACTTCTGTTTTTTAAAAAAAGATTTATTTATTTATTTGAGAGGCAGAGTAACAGATAGAGAAGGGGAGAGAGACAGACAGAGAGAGAGCTCGAGCGCAAGCCCTTTCATCTGCTGGTTTACTTCCCAAATGCTTGCAACAGCCAAGGATGAGCCAAGCTGAAGCCAGAAGCCAGGAATTCCACCCAGAGCCCCACGTGGGTGGCAGGAACCCATGTACTTGTGCCATCATCTGCTGCTTCCCAGGTGCGTTAGCAGGAAACTGGATAGGAAGCAGAACAGCTGAGACTGAACACAGCACTCTGATACAGGATGTGGCATCATGAGTGGCAGTTTAACCCGGTGCACCTGTCCTGACCTTAGAATTTCTGTCCTCACTTCTTGTCCCCTTTCTACTCAGTCATCCTACCATAAGCCCTGGGTCTGCCCTTTCTATGTTATTCCTCTCTAATATAACCACTGTATCACCGTCATGAAAACTGGCCATGTTTTCCTCTCTACTCCTCTTTTTCTTTGATAAACTCTTATTCATCCTTCAAAGCCCAACTCAAATATTATCTCTTCTGACACTGTCCTGCATGGACTCTCCCTCGTCTGAGCTTCTGTAGCACTTTACCAATAGATCGCGGCAATTTTCAAGCTGTATTATGTCTTTTGTTGTTTTCGCACCAGACCACAGTTCCTTGGAAACCTGGCTTTGTCCTGAGAAGTTCTGTCTCCCAGCCCCTGACCCCGGTGTCTGCACAATAAGAAGTATCCAGCAAATGCTGAAGCTTTGTGAATGATGCTGTCCTCTCTTGGGATGATGGACTGAAACAAGAAGAATAGCTGAGCACATTCAAGAAAAATTTCTTGACAATTTCTTTTGGAAGTTGCTGTCACGTGATGACTGATGATGTGAATGAAATCAGCAGTAGCACTGTCAGGCAAGAAAGAGGGCCTTTGAGCAGAAGTGCCCAGGGAGCCTCTGTGGCTACGAGGTCGCCCTCATGGATGATACTGAGGAAAACACTTTCACATGTCTGTTTGGGCTGTTCCCTTGCAGCTTGGATGATGAGAGCCGTTATTTCTGATTTTCATTTTATGGCAAGTAATGTGGAAGAGAGATGTTCCTAAGGTGATTGTATTCACTTGCTGGGACTACTGGGCAAAATATCACAAAATGCATAGCTTAAGAAACAGAAATTGGGGCTGACGTGGTGCAGTGGGTTAAGCTTCTGTTTGCGATGCTGGCATTCCATATAGGAATGCAGTTTCTTTTTCTTTTTTATTTTAAAGACTTATTTATTTTATTTGAAAGTCAGAGTTACACAGAGAGAGGAGAGGCAGAGAGAGAGAGGAGTCTTCCATCCCCTGGTTCACTCCCCAATTGGCCACAACGGCCGGAGCTAAGCTGATCTGAAGTCAGGAGCCAGGAGCTTCTTCCAGGTCTCCCTCGTGGGTGCAGGGGCCCAAGGACTTGGGCCATCTTCTACTGCTTCCCCAGGCCATAGCAGAGAGCTGGATTGGAAGTGGAGCAGCTGGGTCTTGAACCAGCTCATATGGGATGCCAGCACTGCAGGTGGTGGCTCTACCCACTATGCCACGGCACCGGCCCCATGGAATGCAGTTTTGAATCCTGCCTGTTCTGCTTCTGATCCAGCATCCACTGCGCCTGGGAATGCAGTGAATGATGTCCCCAAGTGCTTGAGAAACTGCCATCCATGTAGGAGACCTGGATGGAGCTCTGGGCTCCTAGCTTTGGCTTGGCCCTGCCCCAGCCATTTCGACCAGTGGAGAGTGAACCAGGGAATAGAAGACCTCTCTTTCTCTGTGTCTCTGTGTCTCTTCTTCTCTCTCTCTCTGCTACTGTGCCTTTCAAATAAATAAGTAAATGAATCTTTAAAAAAAGAAAACCAACAGAAACATATCATTTCACAGTTTTGGGTCCTAGAAGTCTCAGGTCAAGGCTGGTCCTTGCTGAGGGCAGTGGGAAGATCTATGCTATGCCTCTCCCCAGCTTCTGGTGGGGCTGGTAATCTTTGGCATTCCTTGGTTTGTCTAGAAACACTAGCACCCTGGTATTTGCCTTCGCTATGTTCCCATGGTGTCCACCTTGTGTGTGTGGGTCTGTCTCCAATTTTCTACCTTTTTTAGGGACATGAGGCATATCAAGTTCAAGGTCTACTTCATGACCTGATTTTAACTCCATTACCTTTGTAAAGAACCTATCTCCAAATAAAGTCATATTCTTAAGTACTGTGGGTTAGAATGCCAACATATGAATTGAGGGGGATAATATTAAGCCTAACTGTGACCTCTGTGAATTGCTAGCTGAACTGAGTTCAGAGCTCAGAGTCCAAAAGCCAGCTTCATAGGAACAACAGAAGCGGATTTTATTTTTAATTGATTGATTGATATGAAAGGCAGAGAGAAAAAGACAGATCTTCCATCCATTGGTTCACCCCCTCAAATGCTCACAACAGCTGGGAACGGGCAAGGCTAAAGCCAGGAGCCAGGAACTCCATCCAGGTGTCTCAGGTGTGTGGAGGAACTCAAGTACCTGAGTCATTACCTACTGATTCCAAGGCAGATTAGCAGGAAGCTGGATTAGAAGTGGAGCAGTCAGGACTTGAACTGGTACTCTGATTGGAATTCAGGTGTTCCAAGCCTTGACTTAACCTGCTGCTCCACAATGCCCTGCCTGGAACAATCTTCAATGACGTCCATCTCTCTGCCTTGAGTTCACCTCCCAGTGCCAGTGAGACTTTTTTGTGCTACGAGAGACTCAGTGGGAGAGTTGGTAACAAAGCTCTAGAAGACACAGCTGAATAATCATATCACCTGCCCTGCTCCAGGCCCTTCTAGGGCAAATGAACCCGAAATCGGGGCAAGAGAGACAGGGAGGGATGAATAAAATGAGAGAGACAGGGCCACAGAAAGTAAACCTATTTTGAAGTAGAGGCAAATTTAAATTATCCACAAGGGAAATGAAGCTTAAGTTTTCAGGGTTTCCCTCATCAACTCCTCAAGGCTCTGCACTTAATTTTGTATACTTTTTTAAAAGAGGCACCCTTCCTCATAAAATATAAAATCCAATCTTTTCAAAACTTGGTCTGCCCTACTCCTAAGGAAAATGCTGCGACTGTCCTTGTAGCTCAAATGGGATAAAAATGTCTCTTCTCCTTCATTCTGGAAAACAGGACTCACTTGGGTTTGTGTTCAGAGCATCCTGCCTAAGTACCAGGCCTCAGCTACCAAACCTCACACACACGTCAGCAGTTTTGTCTCTTGTCCCACATACTAGGAATGCACCTCCCTGCTCCTTGTCATGAATGGCAGCTTCGGAGTCTTAGCAGAAGTTGTGGATCTCTGGGCAGATACTCCTGACACAGCATGCAATCAGAGTCCAGGACAGATGCCCACCAGAGTGAGGTGGAAGAGCTGCTGCCTTGTCACTGGTGTCTGAGGGATGAGCTGATGCAGGCTGTGCAGCAAGTGGGGTGACCCTCACTGACTGGGCACTTCCGCTGCCTGCAGCATTCTCTCATGCACCTCTGATGCCGGAACTGCAGGGATGGGTTGGAACCATCCTTTAGGGAAATACTGGCACATTGAACAATCTGTGTCTCCTTAGACCTTGCCTTGCTTTTCCCTGGCATCTGGGTTTTCCCTTCCTTAATGTGAATGCAGACCTGAATATCTGCAGAACTGCTCCTGGGCAGGGCTAGCTCTTCATCTGCAGGTAATGAACTTGGCAGGGATGGTGGTATTTAATAGCTAAAGTTGATTGATCCAAATGTCAACTATTTCATTTCTCAAAAATGTTTTATGTGTGTTGGATTTTTCCCCTAAGTACATAGCGTCTATTTGAATTTCTCTCTCTCTTACATGAGATTTATTTATGCCATTCGTGCAGAATAACTGATGTCTTCCATAATCTATCTCAGAACTCGCATCCTGGAATCCCAAGAGGCCTGAGACAATGAAGCCAAAAGGATCAGTACATTCACTTACCTGCCGCCTAGGGATGGGTCAGACCTTTACTTGGAAAGGCAACATTATCCTGTTCTTACGAGAACAGAGTGACAGGGCTTTACAAAAGGCTAGTCATTACTTCAAATTTCTAAACAATCAAATCAGGACAGTCAGTGATTCCCTGGTGGCTGGACATCACAATGGCTAGGAAAACCCTACTTTATACCAACTCTTCGTGAAGTTCAGTCAATCCTGTGGACGCAGCCTGAGAAATTATTAGTCCTGCTGTGCTGATGAAACCTTTGATGTATAAAGACCAAGTGGCTTACTCAACATTATAGTGACTCAGGCTTTTAAGTCATGGAACCCAAGTGAAATCTTAGTTGAGTATTTCTGATCTCAGGCTAAAAAATGGAGGTGTGTGATAAAAACTAGTCAGAAAGGATGTGGGTATGCACAAATGTGATGAGAGTATGGCCAAGACTCCCAGAGACTAGAGCTGTAAGGTCACTCAGAATCCACAGCATTCCAAGGACCCCTTTGTTTCAACTCTTGCTCTCACCGGGGCAGGAGTGCAGACTCGGCATTTCTCTGCCATTCACGTGCTTCACCACTCTTCAGTTTGCCCACTTCTCTTGTACCATCTCATTGAAACTCATCTTTTTCTTTTTGGTCTCCCACCAAATTCCCTCATTGGTTAGCACCTTCTAATCAGATCCCTTATAAATCACAGACCAGTATCTGGACTAGTTACACTGGGGTCCCTGTGCACTCATTTGCAGCTTGAACAGACCACAGGGAGTCATGTGGGACAAGAGATGACCACCTTGCTCCAGCCACAGCTACAGTCTGCTCTTTTTAGCCAGAGAGCAACTTCCTTGGGTGAGGGCAGTGGGGAGATAAACACTCTGACTGATCATCTACTCTACAAGACACATCGACCTAGCCAACATTATTTCCCCCAGGCAAGGGATCAAGTATGCCTAACATGTAGCAAGGTGTCTGATTTAATTCATCTCTAGATTCTTTAAGAGATGGGAAAGGTAGTTGGTGGTGGTGGCAATTAGTGAAACCAATTGCTACAAGGGATCTCATGCTCCTAAGGAAAGAATAAAGAAGAAAGTAAGAGAAGAAAATGGTTATCAATTAGAGGGCTGATATTTGCAGTATTTCAGCAGTAACATTATACGGTTAATGACTAGATGTAGGTCCCCGGGACATACAATTATTCACTGTGAGGCCTCGAGCAAGACAGTTCATGGCTCGGAGCCTGGTTTGCTTCTATAAAACAGGAGATGATAATAGCATCTGCCACCTACCTGCTTCTCCTGGGGTGTCTGAGGACAAGTTAACATTTGCACTGTGCTTTGAAACTCTGGGATGAAAGGTGTGAACAAACTATAAAGAGATACTGTGCTTGGTTATTTGCATTTGGTTGTGAGCCACTTGGATTGCTTTTTGGAGGCCAGTACTGGCAGATGTGGTGAGAGAATGAAGGGCAGGGACAGGAGAGGAGACAGAGATGCCAGGAGTAAGGGCCTGTAGCTGTCACCTGGGGAGAAACTCAACAGTCAAGAGAGGCTACGGCAGCCAGGAGATTTACTGTCCAATAGACCAAAGGGCATGGCGAACTGTGACTTTTGTTCTTTCGGATTTGCAAGAAAAGTTTTCAAAGCAGCAGGATTGGACCTAGTGCAGCTCCCCCTGGAGTCTGGGTAGTCAGGGGACTAGCCCCAGCTCTGCCTTGCTCCTCCTGGTTTCTCCTCCTCTTCTCCACTCCCACTGAAGTGACTGTCTTTAGGCAGAGGCTGGAGAAGATGCTTATGTGAGGATCCATCCTGGCATGTAAAAGTCTCATAAAACCTCAGCCCTTAACCAGTTGCCAGTGCTTCCTACCCAGCTCATAGGTTAGCCTCCCTTCCTCTTGATTTTCTTGGTTGGGGTGGTTCCAGCTGGTCATTGTAACTCATTCCATCTACAGTAATCAGTGGTGTATATGGTGGGTTGGCAGGTGGCTGCCCAGTGCCTAGTTTGCCCTGGGCAGGCAGAAGCTGGATATTCCCAAGTCCACACTAAACCCTACTGCCTTCATTTTACCACTACCTGTCTCTGAATTAAGATCCTATGACCTTTGTTGATTCACCTCGTCATACCCACTAATAAAACTTTGATTACTTAGACTGCCTGGTGAATTAGGTGATTATAAGACACTTTTAGACTTTAACAGAGGCAGATTTTAATGTAGGCACCCCTCATCCCCACCCCCAATCCTCGTTTGCTTCAGAAGGGTGTTTGACTATGAGTCTCCTCACCTGTTAAAGTCACAGTGCCTATACTACCTATTCACAAGAGTATTTTAAGAATCTGATGGTTTAAAGTAGGTGAGAGCACTTAGTAAATGGTGAGCCATTATGCAAATGTTAGTGATTATGTTGAAGATGGTCATTAGATCCTGGACCTACCTGTGTGGAGTACATTGTACAGAGGCGATAAACTGAACAGGATTTAAATTAGCTAATTAGATTGGAGTTTTAAAATGCTTTTACCTAAGCCATTCAGAAACAGCAGGGCCCAAATGCAGACATCTGACCCTCTGCGCACATGGAGAGGCATGTGCAAAGGGCAATTCTGTTCTTGGGCTCTGCTGGCATCGATGCCAGCAGGTGCAAGGGCCTGCCTTCTGTGTTGATTCCCAGCTCTGGAGATCTGTCAGAGGAGATCTGGTATTCCAGGGCATGTGGTTAGGACAGGATTCTAAGGGTAGTGGGAAACCACTGGAGGGTTTAAAACAGAAGGGTAATTTGTTCTGATTTACCTTGTATAACATTTCCCAGGCTACTGTATAAAAAAATGAAATGCAGACATTTGTAAACGCTGTCGTTCTTTTCAGCTGACAAACATTTGAGCCCCATCTGTGTTTGAGAAATCCTCTGCCCTGCCCAAAGCAATCTTGGCAGGACACTATCCCCCTACTCCAGAAACTGCTCAGGCCAAAGACTCCTTAAACCCCTCTGATAGCTAAAAAATGGGCCCTGATTCTTGACCTGGGACTCCAGATCTTGCTCTGCTGCGACAAAGACCTAAGACAAGACAGATTTACTGCACTGCGGGCAGAGCTGGCAGCACGAGGGCCCAGTGGAATCCAGAGTCTACTGCCAGCCGGAGGCCAGTGCCAGTGAAATATCTAGGTCCAGCAAGGTAGTGATGACATCCTGGCCAACCTTACTTTCTTCGGTGCTTTTACTGAGATTGGCTCCTTCCTAGGTTCCTACCCACCTATATCTGAGGCTACTTCTATCACCTTCTCATCAATTCTGTGATTTCAAATAGATTTCCACTAATCCACTTTCTGCTTAACTGCACTACTATTGTTATCTATTTGCTTACAATCAAGAGCAAAGCAATTACATAGGGAGCTTTCACAGAAATGATGGTGGCTTGGATTGAGTATGGCAGTGCAGGTAGGAAGAAGTGACTGGAATGGATTTAGGGTAGTGTTGGAGGATGAGTTGTCAGAATTTACTGATGGCTCACATGTAGCAAATTCATCCTATAACATGTGGCAAGAGGCAAAGACGACTCAAAGAAACTTGATATTTGGCTTGAAGATATTGACACATTTTTGTGTAAGCATAGAAACAGTCTGGAAAGAAAGGCACTAAATCTTTATCCGGGTTTGTGTCTGGGAGTACAGCTGAAGCTATGGTAAGGGCAGGGGCTTTTGTTCATATTTTATACAAAATGTAATTTATGTCATAGTTACTTCATATTTTATATGCAAAAAAGTAATAGTGGGCAGATGTTTGTCACAGAAGTTAGGAAACTGCTTGGAAGACCTGTATCCCATGTTGAAGTGCCTGGTGTGAGTCCTAGATCCTCTGTGTCTAATCTAGCTTCCCATCTGTGAGCACCCTAGGACCCAGCACAAGTGCTTGGGTCCCTGCCACCCACATGGGAGACCCAGATCTAGTTCCAGACTCTTGTCTTTGGCCTGGATCAACCTCAGCAATTGTAGGCATTTGGGGAATGAACCAAAAGGTAGAAGATCTGTCTCTCTCCCTTTCTAATAAAATGAAAAAAAAATTTTAAAAGTGGAATCATTATGGATTTTTAAAATGTTCTGATATTGAAAATAAAATTATAAAAATATTTTTAAGAACTTTTGTGGAAAATTTAGGGGAGATATTTAAGACAGAATTAGATTAATGGAGCATGTCTGAGTGTGTTGAAAAGTTGAGAGGAGAAATGAAGAGTTTTTTGGCTAAATAGAAGAAATGCTATTTCAAAGGGAAGAGAAGATTTAGAGTGGAACTTACCAGTCATTGACTTTGAAGCGGAAGGTTTCACAACCAAGTGCTGGAGTACCGTCTCCGTAACTAACATTAATTACATCTTTTGGAAGAAGAGCTATGCTGCATCCCAAACTCTCTGGATTCCAGCAGCTAGCGGGAGTTTGCCCACATCAGAGATGAGATGTTCCAGAAAAAGCATGTGAAAAGACTGTGTAACCTTGCTCCCTCCCCAGGAATCTGGACGTGGGAAGGGGAGGATGTGCAGACGGAACAGGGCCGAGTTGAGGAAGCCAACGGTGGAGAGCTACTTGCCAAAAGATGTGGATAAAGAACAGGTGAGGCTTGTTAATACTCAAAGCAAAGTTTAAATAACAAATCTGTCTGTTGGCCGATTTGTTCATTTCAAATCTTGAGGAGGAGAGCCCAAAGCAGAGTCAAATCCAAATGTGTTCCATGGCCAAAAAGCCAAGATAGGCACAAGTTGTATGCAGGGACCCAGGGGAGGCCTGGAGGGAGGGAGTTCTGGGTGGAAGTATCTTGGATACTGAAGAGTTCTTGAGAGAGCAGACATCCTGTCTAGGTCCCAGGGAATCTCCTGAGACCCAGAGGCATGCATCTGAGGGGAAGAGGATATAAATCTGGTAGACCTTATTCTAGACCTTATCCTTCTACCCGTCCATCCATTTAGCAGCACCAACTATAACCAAATTCTTACATTGACATCATTAGTTTAAATTAACTTCAGGAGAATAGTTGCAAAGAAAAGCATTTTTATGAATTTTAAATATGCAGGATTATGAGAGTGAGACTAAAAAGTGTTGCCAACCAGATCAGCATTTAAGAAACATTAAAAATAGTTTGTAAGTAGCATATAAATGTTTAGATGTAAATGCATGCTACCATGGTTTTTTTTTTAAGATTTTATTTATTTATTTGAGAGGTGGAGTTACAGACAGAGGGAGAGACAGAGAGAGGTCTTCCATCCACTGATTCACTCCCCAAATGGTTGCAATGGCCAGAGCTGAGCTGATTTGAAACCAGGAGCCAGGAGCTTCTTCCAGGTCTCCCACATGGGTGCAGGGGCCCAAGCACTTGGGCCATCTTCCACTGTTTTCCCAGACCATGCTGCTAAGGTTTTTAAAATATTTTTTGGGGGGCAAACTTGTCAAGTCACTGCTTGGGATGCCCACATCCCATAAAGGAGTGCCAATTTGAGTCCTGCTTCCTCTATTTCCCATCCAGCTTCCTTCTAGTCCATCCTGGGAGGCACCAGATGATGGCTGGCTCAAAGTAGCTGGGTCCCTGCCACCCACATCAGAGATCCAAACTGACTTCTCAGTTCTTGGATTCCAGCTGGCCCGGCCCAGGATGTTGTGGGGATTTGGGGAAGTGAACCAGCAAATGGAAAATTTCTCTCTCTCCCTCTCCCCTTCTCCCTCTCCCTCCCTCTCTCTTTTTCTCCTTCCATGTCTTTCAAATAAATAAAAAATAAACAATTTTTAAAGTAATAAAAATATGTATTTCTCTACATAAGCTAGACAAACTTGGGCTGGGATTTTGATTGTTGCCCTCATTTACTTAGTCGACCTTTTCTTGTCAGACAACATGAAGCTAACCACTCCAGACAATGCCAGACTTAGCATATATTTTAACATAATAGATTTCCTGTCATGAGAATTGTTTCTATTAACTGCAGCTCAATAAAAAAAAGGTCTAGGAGCTGGGAGAAATACACACACACACACACACACAAACATATATATTTATACTGGTGTACATAAAACCTCATGTTAAGTTGCCTGATGTTTTGAATTATTTCAATTTGTCTCCAACCAGAGTGGAGTTAAGTCAGAGTTAATGAGATGGACGAGTCCCTGGAATAAAATTGTGAATTTAAAAACATCACAATATGGTTGCTAGGCTTCACTTTGGGAGCCTCATTTAAGCTATGGAGGGCAGTGTGGGGGGGGGGGGTGGGGGGGGGAATCATGTTTAGAAAAACATCCTCAAAGTTTCAGACGTTCCTGAAATAAAGATACCAGGCGGGAGCATTAATACAGCTGTGTGTTAATCCCTGTGGCTGGAGTTCACCCCGATGATTAATTACCATCCTGTTTGCCTGGTGTTAATAAGCCTTCCAAGGAGCCAGGCCCCGCCCCTCCCCCATCTCTGAAGGTATTCTTCATCTTCAACCCTGTGATTTTCAACCAGAAAAAAAAATAATAGTGGCAGCCCTGGAGGCCTGCCAGAGCGAGCGTTTCTCGTTCTCAGCGCAGTGTTCTCACTGTGTTTGCTTTGCATCTTTTCTCTGACCTCTTTATCTCCCCGACTCCCCCACCCCCCAACATGTGCCATTTCTCCTTAGGCTGTGAAAACGCACGCACAAGTTCACCTCAGCCCCCTCTGTAGCCTCCTGGAGAGCTTAGCAGAAAACAAGTCCCTGCTTGTGGGGAGCTTAGGAAGGCCAACCGGGAAAGCAAGGCTACGGTGGCTGCTCGCCATGGGCTTTCTGTTTCCTACTCTGCCAGATGGTTTCCAACCCCCTTTCAGTTCCAGAACAGCCTAAAGCCCAGGGCAGGCAAGCTGCCCGCCCAGAGTGACATCTGTGTTTCTAGGAAGGCAGTCTTCTGCCCCTCCAACACTTCCTACCCTTCCTGCCTCCACCAGGGGAATCTTGCCTGGAGCAGAGCTGAGAATCCTCCCTACATGCAGACCCCTGGGAGAGGGGACAATGTTTTGCTCCTACATCCTTGGCACTTGAGGAGTCAGTGTCTGAACCTGGGAGGGCACCAACTCACTGGGAGTCTGAAGGGACCATGCTCTTTGCACAGTTGCCAGGAATTCCAGCCATGACAGCTGAAATGAATTGAGGTGCCCTGGAGAGGGCACATGCAGGGAAGACCTGAGACTGGTCTTCTCACCCTCCTGGGGCAGCTCCTGTCCGCCTGACCATTGCAGCTTAGCTGCCATTTGTACCAGAGCTCTTCCTATCACACGAAGGCAGGGACTGTACTGGGTATATCTGTACACTCAATGCCCAGCATGGTGTGTCACAAGCACAGTAGGCCCTTAAGGGCTACCTGCAGAGTGAATGAATGAATGGAAAATTGACTGAGGTCTACCACATGGAGAACAACTTCTAAGTTCCCAGCGTGTTTATCAAGCCTGGCCACCCTGGAACAGTGACATTGGCTGTCACTCTCATCCACACTTGCAGGGACTCCCAAATCTGCCTTTGTATAGTAGGCACTGGGGCCCTTTGCAGCCCTCTGGGGGCTGTGCCAGGGCAGCTGCTTTCCCACCCTACTCCCTCCCCCAGTTGAAATCTCTCTCTCTCTCTTTCTTTTTTCCAAACCTTTCCCCCTGGCTCAGAGCCAGGAAGGCCTCTAAGTCACACTCAGAATTTCCATGACAGTAAATAGACCAAATGAAGCCCTTTCCAGCCTTCTGAAAGAGGTCTCTTCCAACCCCACAGTGTCTGGCAGCATTTTTCTTCCCCCCATTTTGATACAGGCCTGTGGAAGGTCAATGACTCCTTTAAAAAAAAAAAAAAAAAGGAAAACATGGACAAGTGCCCAGTTCCTAACCTGCTGACGGTGCAGTTCTGTGCAGCCAGCCGGCCCCCAGTTCTTTGCCGAAGCCTTCACAGTGAGTTTTCACAAAGGTCTGCAATCTATTATGCTACAGTTGACTGCTGCATTCAAATGTAAAAACAGATCCTTGGATCAACACCCTATAAAAAGCCAAGAAAAAATGTGGTAGTGTTCTTTCCTGGCTTTATCCAAAACCTTTCTGTAGGAGCAAACCTTTGCAACCCAGGGCCCTGTACCTGCGTGGTTTTCCTTGTAGCCTGGTCCATTCGCAATCCCTGCGAGTCATGGAGGCAGCAGCTATTAGCACCCTCACTGTGCAGAGGAAGAGCAAACTCTGCTGAAGGGACTTGATCCCCAAATGATTTTCTCAGCAGCAGAGCTGAGGAAAGACACCTCCAGGGCTTTCATTTCATCCTGCTACCTCCTTGCCTCCAGCCTGCACTAAGCCGTTCTGGAAGATGGTGCTCAAAATACGCTTCCCAGCTAAAACGCAAGTGCTTTCTTAAAATAAAACAACATGCAGGCAGCCCAGAGATCCTGGCCGAGCCCAGACAGAAATGAATTTTCATGCCTTCTTGGACATTGATTGCCACTGGTGCATGAAATCCACATAGGAAAAAATGTTAGTGAAGAAAGATCAACAGGGGATATTTGAAGCTTTGCGGGAAAAGGTACCCATCCCTGTCGGCTCAGCTCATCACCCTTCTCCTGTCTTCTCCCCCACCCCCAAGAATGCCTTAGGCCGAGTGTCAGGAGTAGTGGGACAAGCAGTTTCAGTCAGTCGCGCTGGACTGTAACTGCGGCTGGTGCCACACTGGCATTAGCCACAGGAGCTCATCCCCGCCTCCAGGAGGACTGCCAAATTGCTGTTCATATTCTGTCTGCTTCACTTGTTCACCGATTGGCAATTACCTTGCTGAGATCATTGTTTTTCTCGTCTGTATTTTTAGCTCATTATGAAACTTGCAGCAGGATGACTACCTCAGATCTAGTCTTTGTTTTTTAGAGTTTAGCAAGTAGCTTTAGCTGTGTGGCAAGATTCGCTTTTATGCCTGCTTCAGATGAACAAATGTTAAGACCTTGTTTTTTTGTATTTGTGAGTTCATGTGTCGCCAGGCACACATTTATCTGGATGAACATTAATGTGGCATATGGGTGTGTGCACACATACACATTTCCTTCAAGTTTCATACTTTAGAAACAGCTTTATTTAAGTATAATTGATAAACAAAGAATGGCACCTATTTAATGTGTACAATGTGGTGAATGTGGAAATATGCAAACACCTGTGATACCATCACCAAAATAAAGGTAATAAATATATCCAACATCTCCTAACGTTTGTGTCCCTTTTTTTTTTTTTTTGGTGGTTAAAAACACTTAACAGAATGAGATCTACCCTCTCAGCAAATTTTCGAGTTCACAGAACTGTATTAATTATATGTACTACATTGTGCAGTAGAAAAATATTATATGTACATATATCATCTGTATACATTTGTTTGTGGATGTTTGGTTTATGTCCATATTATGGCTATTGTAAAAAAACCTCTGGTTTAATTTTTAAAGATTTATTTTATTTATTTGAAAAGCAGAGTGAAAGAGAGAGGAAAAGAGAGAGAAAGAGAAAGAGATCTTCTGTCTGCTGGCTCACTCCCCAAATAGCTGCAACAGCGAGGTTTCCGCCCTGCCAAGGCCAGGAACCAGGAGCTCTGTCCTGATCTCCCACATGGGAGGCAGGGGCCCAAGCTTAGGCCATCTTCTGCTGCCTTTCCAGGCATAATAACAAGGAACTAGATCAGAAGCAGAGCATCTGGTAGCTAAACCAACTCTCCAAAAAGGGATGCTGTTGTCCCTGCTGCACCACACTCCTACCTCCCTCATTTAATTTTGATCTAAACTGAATTAACAATACATTTTAAATACTATTTTTGGTCTAAAGTTTGGATTAATTCACTGGCTTGTCTTTATTCTGGGGTTTGGTGACCATGTCTATACTGTGTCCCATTCCCTGGGCTGAGCACAGTACCTGACACATGATAGACACTCAATGAGTGTTGAATGAATACAGAGAGAAACGGGCTAATCGTTTGATGATTCATTTTCAGGTTAGGAAGAAGTCGAAGGCGGGAAGAAGTGCCACAGAGATACTCCTTTCTGCTTCATCTTCTGGCATGGGCTTTAGAGAGTTGGAGGGCAAGGAGCCACTGCTATATGCTGGAATGAGCCTCCTCCAGGTCTGCCTGTAACTGTGTCTTTATCATGAGGATTACAGTTCAGCTACCAACTTCTCAGATACTCTTTCCTGCCCATCCTGTCTCAAGAGGCCTTCTTGGGGACGGATGCCACTTGCAGTGCTGGCATGCCATGTGGGTGCTGGTTTGAGTTCTGGCTGTTCCACTTCCCATCTAGCTCCCTGCAAATGCTCCTGGGAAAGCAGCAGAGGATGACCCAATTCCTTGGGCCCCTGCACACATGTGGGAGACCTGGAAGAAGCTCTTGGTTCCTGGCTTCAGCCTGGCCTGGCCCAGTCCCGATCGATGTGGCCATTTTGGGGAGTGAATCGGTGGATGAAAGATATTTTTCTCTCTCTCCCCCCCACTTCTCTATATCTCTGCCTTTCACATAAATAAATAAATCTTTTCTAAAAAGCTCTCCTACCACTTACTCCTGTCATTCTCACATTATCCTACTTAATTGTCTTTACAGTGCTTTTCCCATCTGAAATGATTTTATCTATTTGCTTGTTTATTATTGTCCATACTTTTTAAAAAACTATTTGAGGAGCAGGACTTCATATGTCTTTTTATTGTGGTATCTCCCAGGGCTTGGAACAATGTCCAGCCTAGAATAATCATTCAATAAGGATTTATTAAATGGCTATGTGAATAAATCTTCCTTCGCCTGCTCACAGAAGCCTGGAGGGAGCAATCTATAGGAAGCAGGTCAAAAACTAAAAACTCAGCTTCTCCCACATCCCTCCTTTCTCTTCATCTGCTTCCCTGGCTGGAGCCTGTCATGCCTTGTGCTATGTATCCTTGAATGTCCAGTTTTCCTGTCTAAGCAGTTGGTGCTGAGCCCATTGCCTATGCTTTCTGGCGTCCACAGCTCATTCCTGATGGTGTGGGCTGGGAATTGTTGCCTTTGACATGCTGACACCACTGCTCCCATTGGCACTATTGCTGAGCGGGTCTTTCCCTGCCCTGTCCTGCTTGCTGCCTTTAAGCTGTCAGCCCTTTCCCACACCGAGCAGCTGGCATGCATGGAAATGGAGCCCTGGCACACCCACATGGGAGCAGCCTCTGGGTTGGATAGTTTTACCACTCACCCTCATCTGCCTCAGATGCTGCTCCTCAGCTCATTCCT